AAGTTTTTGTGCAAAGTTTAAAAAGAAAGAAAACTATTCAAAGCAATATATAAGCAATATATATTAAAACTTAAATTGAATTGAATTGAATTAAAAATATTAAATTGAAAAATTACTATCAAATATCAATAAACAAGAATACATATAAAGAAAGAAAATGTCAGCAATTGGAATTGATTTGGGAACAACATACTCATGTGTCGGTGTATTCCAGCACGGAAAAGTTGAAATCATCGCTAATGACCAGGGCAATCGTACAACACCCAGCTATGTTGCGTTCACAGATTCTGAGCGATTGATTGGTGACGCCGCTAAGAACCAAGTGGCAATGAATCCAAAGAATACAGTATTCGACGCTAAACGATTGATTGGCCGCAAATATGATGACCAGAAAATACAAGAAGATATGAAACATTGGCCATTTAAAGTGGTGAACGACAGTGGTAAACCAAAAATTAACGTCGAATTCAAAGGCGAACAGAAGAGATTTGCACCCGAAGAGATAAGCTCAATGGTGTTAACTAAAATGAAAGAAACAGCTGAAGCATATCTTGGTACAACAGTGAAAGATGCAGTCATCACAGTACCTGCCTATTTTAATGATTCGCAGCGTCAAGCGACAAAAGATGCTGGTGCAATAGCTGGTCTTAATGTGTTACGTATAATAAATGAACCGACAGCTGCTGCATTAGCGTATGGGCTAGACAAGAACTTGAAGGGCGAACGGAACGTTTTAATATTTGATTTAGGTGGCGGTACATTCGATGTTTCGATTTTGACAATTGATGAAGGATCTCTGTTCGAAGTGCGATCTACGGCTGGTGATACACATTTGGGTGGTGAAGATTTCGACAACAGATTGGTGAATTATTTGACTGATGAATTTAAGCGTAAATACAAAAAGGATTTGCGCTCAAATCCAAGAGCACTTCGTCGTCTGCGAACAGCTGCTGAACGTGCCAAACGTACTTTATCCTCTAGTACTGAAGCAACAATCGAAATTGATGCATTATTTGAGGGTATTGATTTCTATACGAAAATAAGTCGAGCACGCTTTGAAGAGCTCTGTGCAGATTTATTCCGCAACACATTGCAACCAGTAGAAAAAGCGTTGACAGATGCAAAAATGGATAAGAATCAAATTCATGATATTGTATTAGTTGGTGGATCTACTCGTATACCGAAAGTACAAAACTTACTTCAATCATTCTTCTGTGGCAAGAGTTTAAATTTGTCAATTAATCCTGACGAAGCTGTCGCTTATGGTGCAGCTATTCAAGCAGCCATACTGAGTGGAGATAAGAGCAGTCAAATACAAGATGTACTACTAGTTGACGTTGCTCCGCTTTCGTTGGGTATTGAAACTGCTGGTGGTGTTATGACAAAGTTAATAGAACGTAATAGTCGCATTCCATGTAAACAAACAAAAACATTCACCACTTATGCTGATAACCAACCTGCAGTCACTATTCAAGTATTTGAAGGTGAACGAGTCATGACAAAAGATAACAATCTTCTTGGAACATTCAATTTAACTGGCATACCACCAGCTCCTCGTGGAGTTCCTAAAATTGATGTCACCTTCGATTTGGATGCAAATGGCATCTTAAATGTTGCAGCAAAAGAGATGAGTACTGGTAACGTAAAGAACATAACCATCAAAAATGATAAGGGTCGTTTGTCGCAAAGTGAAATTGATCGAATGGTAAATGAAGCTGAGAAGTATGCCGAAGAAGATGAAAAAGCGAGACAGCGAATCGCCGCACGAAATCAACTTGAAACTTATGTATTTAATGTTAAACAGGCCATAGATGATGCTGCTGATAAATTAGATCAATCGGATAAGAATAATGTGGTTGAGAAATGCAATGAAACCATAAAATGGCTCGATAACAACACCACAGCTGAGAAAGAAGAATATGAATATAGAATGGAGGAATTAACTAAAATTTGTAGTCCGATTATGACAAAGATGCACCAACAGGGCAAGGGCAAACCAGGCACAGAACCAACCAGTTGCGGTCAACAAGCCGGAGGTTTTGGTGGTGGCAACTACAGAGGTCCAACTGTTGAAGAAGTTGACTAAATTCCAAAGATTTGTAAATTGTAAATTGTAAACTTTAAATTGTAAATATTGTAATTTAGTGAAAACTTATTTTTAGATGTAGATGTATATGTTAATTTGATCTATCGATGAAATTGTATTACTTAAAGACTGTGTTCTAGTTTAAATATTTATTTAATAAATAAGTTTGTTAACTAAGTGTAAGTTAACTTTAAGTACAATATTTAGTTTAAAATAAAGTCTAAAATTTTTAAATTAAAATGAATTTATTTGTTTTATTTACTTAACTTGATTGGGAAGATACTTGATTTTCATTTTTGCTTACTAATTACAAATAGAAATAAATAAAAGTTTTGAGAAAAATATAAATATGTTTCTGATTTTTTGGTATTTTACCTATCCTAATCTATCAAATTTTTTATATCACTAATTTATTCGTACCTTCAGATAAGTCGTGCCATCAATTTGGTCATCTTTCTCAGTTCTATTTCAACTGCGCACTACTGATCTACTGATTTTTTGAATTATCTCTTGTTTTTGTTTTTGTTTTTGTTTTGAGGTGTATTTTGCTTCTATCCTAAAGTATCATCAACGTTCCAACCATTTGATATGCTATTATTTTCATTATATGGATGAAAGATTCTTTACATGATAGTTATTTAAGTTTGGAATTCAAACGAATATACGTTTTCAGTTTCACATCTCGGTATAGCTTGAGATTACGAAGTGTTTCGACTCAACTTTGGTATGTGAGAAAGCAATCCTTTTGAAAAGTCTGCCATACTTCACTTAAAGTCAGTGCGTACAGCATATGTTATGTTGTGACTACTTGCATGGCATATTCTATAAGATTAAAAATAAGTCTTATTACTTTTACAATGACATATCTCAGTTGGAAATTTGGCTGAACTAAATATTTAGCACATCCGGATTCGATGTATTCCGTTTAAGATAGAATACATCGCTAATCTGTGTATTGTTCATAAAATTTATGAAAAACAAAAATAATCTAATTTTTTTATTATCTACCGCCTCAGTAAATACATATATTGACAGTACTGTAATATTTTAAAACGCAACTGACTTTACTTTTCCACCGTGACGAAATGAATAATTTATTTTCCTAAATTTATCAAAGCCTTTTCAACTTAAGTAAGGTTACGTTTGGTTAAGAATATAGTACAAAGAGATTACAGATAGTTTTCAAGAGTCGTCGGGTGTACGTCCAGTAACTGTCATTCTTCATAGATGTGTTAGTGCCGTTTGATCATTAAAACGAATTAAGAAGAGAGTAACGTAGTACTGAGTTTGTTTTGCATACTGATGCGAATTTCTTCAATTTAGGCCAAGAGGATTTCCTGATCTGAAAAATAACTTGATATATCCAAACTTTCATAGCCAACCACATATATTTAGTTTAATTTCCACTTTAGCCAGTTTATTATTTTATCAGAAACTTGGATGGTAATCAATGAAGTGATGTAAAAAGAGCTTTCGTAGGGACGTAAACTAAGGATCGAATAATTTGTACTACAGCTGTCCTTCCTACTCAGAATTTATCCTGTTCAATAACAGCTGTATAGGAACAGCTATTACAGATGTGCCAAGTGTAGTTTTGATACCTGAGGTGATTATATTGGGTTGAAATAAGTAGTATCTTAAAAATTTTGACCAGACTTGCATCTCGCTTAAGATTTAAGAGGGAATTTGTGATAGCGTTAAGTATACAGTAGTAAAGGCACAGTCGATATCCACAAAATTATAATCTTTGAAGACAAAAAATTTATAGAAAAAGTGCTCTTTCCACAGACTTGCTTTTAGTATAAGTATGCTAAAGAGTAGAGTAATACTAATTGTATTCTTGATGTGGATGATAAGAAATTTGTCCTGCATTTTTAACAGAAATTATCACAAACTGATCAGTCTATGGTCAGTGGGTTTTGAGTGCGCTCCCTTCTCAACTTTGAAGTTTAATACTACAAGAGAGATTCTACAACAGCTGGTATACAACAAATAAATGATGGACTGTACATTCTCGTATATTTCTAAATCAGGATAAGACATTTCGTTTTTTCAGCATTTAGATCTACTATAAAAAAAGTAATATTAATATTAATGCCATTAGATCGCTAAGGATTTGTACTCAATGTCAGAGCAAGTGGAGTAGAAATTTTACAATAGCTGCAGATATACAGATAGCTCGTAGCTCGTACCTGGTAGCTGATAGCTGGTAACTGATAAATTATTTATTTATTTTAGTTAGTTTCAAACATAGATCTTAACATAGATCGTATCAATCAAAATCGTATCGCTGTACCTTTTCTATGATATAAAATAGGAGAATGAAGAAGTATTTTGCTTTCTTTTATCGTCAAACACAATTACCGTTTATTACTAACCTACGTCAATATGCGAAAGCTTGTCTGTTTGTCGTAGATTGAAAAATAAGCAAAAATGAATTGATAAATGAATTTGCATATATTGACAACAAATTGAAATTTGTTATTTTTATTTGTTATTTGTTATTATAAATGAAAATTTTCTCTTCACAAGTACCGTCGTAGCGTAGTGCCGTAGTGCCGTAGTTTCGTAGTACCGTAGTACTGTTGGTACAAAGCTGTGCGTCTCTGGTCGTAGCAATTCAATGGCAATTCTAGAAGTTGCTGTGACGTAGCGGGTCAATATACAGCGATAATAAAACCATTTCATTCATAACGTTTGTTTGGAAATTTCTAGAGGCAATGCAGAAAAACATATTCACACACATTTACATATTTTATATAAATAAGTTCTCTAATGCACTCTAATATTCCCTTTATAATATTTTAAGAGAGTGCTTGTGTTTGTCACGTTACACACACAATTATACTAAGCTAATATTCACTATTGTGCAGCTGGTAAAATGTGTGCATACACTGAACTCTTTAAATTTGTCTTTCTCTTAAACTCTTCATTTATTGGTCGCGTATCTTGAACATTTGGTTCCCGAATATTCTGTAAGTTTCTTGAAAGAGTATCTAGATACTTCTCTGAAATGTAGATTTTTGTATAAAAGGCGGTGAAAATTCGAAGAGCATCAGTTTATACAAAACATTTGAAGTGAAAAGATTGACTGAGAAGAGGAGAAGTCAGAAAGTTTTTGTGCAAAGTTTAAAAAGAAAGAAAACTATTCAAAGCAATATATAAGCAATATATATTAAAACTTAAATTGAATTGAATTAAAAATTTTAAATTGAAAAATTACTATCAAATATCAATAAACAAGAATACATATAAAGAAAGAAAATGTCAGCAATTGGAATTGATTTGGGAACAACATACTCATGTGTCGGTGTATTCCAGCACGGAAAAGTTGAAATCATCGCTAATGACCAGGGCAATCGTACAACACCCAGCTATGTTGCGTTCACAGATTCTGAGCGATTGATTGGTGACGCCGCTAAGAACCAAGTGGCAATGAATCCAAAGAATACAGTATTCGACGCTAAACGATTGATTGGCCGCAAATATGATGACCAGAAAATACAAGAAGATATGAAACATTGGCCATTTAAAGTGGTAAACGACAGTGGTAAACCAAAAATTAACGTCGAATTCAAAGGCGAACAGAAGAGATTTGCACCCGAAGAGATAAGCTCAATGGTGTTAACTAAAATGAAAGAAACAGCTGAAGCATATCTTGGTACAACAGTGAAAGATGCAGTCATCACAGTACCTGCCTATTTTAATGATTCGCAGCGTCAAGCGACAAAAGATGCTGGTGCAATAGCTGGTCTTAATGTGTTACGTATAATAAATGAACCGACAGCTGCTGCATTGGCGTATGGGCTAGACAAGAACTTGAAGGGCGAACGGAACGTTTTAATATTTGATTTAGGTGGCGGTACATTCGATGTTTCGATTTTGACAATTGATGAAGGATCTCTGTTCGAAGTGCGATCTACGGCTGGTGATACACATTTGGGTGGTGAAGATTTCGACAACAGATTGGTGAATTATTTGACTGATGAATTTAAGCGTAAATACAAAAAGGATTTGCGCTCAAATCCAAGAGCACTTCGTCGTCTGCGAACAGCTGCTGAACGTGCCAAACGTACTTTATCCTCTAGTACTGAAGCAACAATCGAAATTGATGCATTATTTGAGGGTATTGATTTCTATACGAAAATAAGTCGAGCACGCTTTGAAGAGCTCTGTGCAGATTTATTCCGCAACACATTGCAACCAGTAGAAAAAGCGTTGACAGATGCAAAAATGGATAAGAATCAAATTCATGATATTGTATTAGTTGGTGGATCTACTCGTATACCGAAAGTACAAAACTTACTTCAATCATTCTTCTGTGGCAAGAGTTTAAATTTGTCAATTAATCCTGA